ATACAGATACAGATACAGATACAGATACAGATACAGATACAGATACAGATACAGATACAGATACAGATATAAAGAGGTGCAACAAGGGAGGGCGGCGGGGCGCGCGCCCTTCCCATAGCACGTGAGAGGGGGGTGGGCGGCAGAAAGAAAAGAAAGACTGGTGAATATCAGTATCACAGGAATAAGAAAACCAATAGAGTTATTGTAGAAATTATACTATAGTTAGTTAAATAAATATTTTTATCTTTCTCAATTCTCAAGGCTACAGGCTATTGTAAACATTTAATGTAAGTAAGTTCCGAACTGAAGTATTTGTGTTGACTGTTGTTAGTTTAGTTTATTTCTGTTTTTCTAGATTTTTGCAACAAACTCTGATATGTTAATCCCTTTATCTTTGCCACCCAATGTGTAGATTTGAAACTTTTAATTCTTTGGGTAAAATTAACCACTCAGTGCAAAGATTTAGGGATTAGAATATTTGAGTTTGTGGCAAAAACTCAGTTCCAAATCTAGAGAACATTAACTGAAACTTGGCAAATTTCTAACTGATTATCATATTTCATAACTGATAAGGTTATGTTATGAACTTCTGTTTGACAGAACTTTTATAAAATCGAAAATGAAATAAGATTATAAATGTTGGTTTGTATGATCAATCATAAATCTGCAATAACTTCAGGAAGAAACTTTTCTTTTGCGCTTCGCACACACATTCAACGAATTGACTCATATCGTTCATTTTACAGCTGTTGGAAGTATACATTTTTTTTAAAAACACAAGAAAAAACGATTTGAATTGAATACAGCCAAATCTGTATGCAACAACTGAAAATTTCCTTTTTTCGACTTCAAACCCCCAAAAATGCACTTTTATTTTGAAAACAAAATCTAAAAAGGGTAAAAGGATACAAGGATACAAGGATACAAGGATACAAGGATACAAGGATACAAGGATACAAGGATACAAGGATACAAGGATACAAGGATACAAGGATACAATGATACAAGGATACAAGGATACAAGGATACAAGGATATAAGGATACAAGGATACACGAATCCAAGAATACCTGTTTAAATGAAGATCTATCTGTGGTAGAAAAGACAAGAATACACCCTTGTGCTCCTCTATAGTAAACTCTTGTTATACAATCAAATTCCTCTTGTCCTAAAAACAAACAAATCCTTCTCGTGTTCTGCAAACAAACCAATTCTTCTTGTCCTAAAAATAATCAAATTCTGTTTGTCCTGCAAATAATTAAATTCATCTTTTCCTACAGTGAATCCCAGATATTTGAATACATAGCAAGACTTTTTTTAATGTCGTATTTTCAACCTATTTAAGATCAAATGCCGTGGACAAACGAATTCCACATATCAATTGCTGTCCTATATATTTCAGGGCTATTAATTTACCCTGAAATAAAAATTAGAATTTGTTTCTTAAGAATTATCAAAAAATTATGACTCTCAACAAGGATATTTGGATATATTTTTATAAATAGTATTCAACCCTTTGAAGCTGTGATTATCTACACAACTTTCTTCGTGTACAGAACAATGATAAAGCATAACAGCTGTCAAAAACTTATAAACAATTTAAAGACGACATTTCATGCGCTCTTGCTATGTATTCTTATATGTGAGATTGGCTGTACAGTGTACAATCAATCGAATTGTTCTTGCCCTACAAATAAAATTAATTAATCTTGTTCTACAAACAATTACAATTATTCCTCTTGTCCTGCAAATATAGTAATTCGTCTTGTCCTTCGTACAAAAATCAAAATCTTTTTGTCCTATAAATCATCAAATTCTGTTTGTCCTACAAATAATCAAATTACTCTTTTCTTACAATCAATCAAATTTATCTTGTCCTACAAACAAACGTATTCTTCTTGTCCTACAAATAATAAATTTATCTTGTCCTACAAACAAACGTATTCTTCTTGTCCTACAAATAATAAATTTATCTTGTCCTACAAACAAACGTATTCTTCTTGTCCTACAAATAATCAAATTCATCTTGTTCTACAAACAAACAAATTATTCTTGTCCTACAAACAATCAAATTTCACTTGTCTTACAAATAGTGAATTTTAGATTTTAACAATGAACATTTTATGAAAAGATTTTGTTCTAATCTATTCTTGATTGCCAGGATTTTTGAATAAAATGTAACACTATATATAGGATGTCATGGCTCCTTTATATTATAGCTAAAGAAAGTATAATTGACAGTCCAAACCAGAATATTTGTCCTTTTTTGCAGATGATTAATTATTCACAACATGGTACCACATGCACTAGAACAGTGATAAGTAAATTGAACCAGCTATGACCATTGTAAATTAACGCTTAGATACAAATCTAAAAATATTTACCAGCAGTGTCCCATAAGAGCAATCGAACTTCTTCTCCAGATATACTACAAAATAAATTTTTACTTTCCATGTTTTTTATTTTCTTTTACTTTTTTTTCAAGGTTAAAAAAAAATAAAAAAAAAAATGCGAAAAATACTTATTTAACAGTTAATAATATACAGAGTTACCCAAAAAGGATTAGACTTTTAAGTCTCATCTCATCCCGGCACTGTAATAATCATAGAATTCATCAATGTGTTTTTAACCCTTGTAAATGTATAATTATGTGCCTAATAAAATATTTATTTATTTATTTATTTATCTTGTAAATAGCTGTATCATGAAAAATACCTCAAAGATTTCTCTAGAAAGTCCACACCCATCGTCTTCTTGTATTGATTTGTGAAAACACCGCGGCAATATCGCTGAATTAATGACGACTTCCCAACTGCTCCATTTCCCACGATCAAAATCTGATATAATGGGTTTTGTTGAAAACATGCCTATTAAGGACGATGTTTATTTGATCAAACTTTCGCAACTAATAATTATTGCAAATAAACAAATTGCATTGTCAAACTTTAAAGATTTACGTAAAATAAAGTATCAAATGGAGTCTAGACTTTAACGGTCCGAATTCTCTTCTCCTATTCAAACAAAGCCAATCTACTGTCGTCTTTAAATTCCAATGTTTAATAGGGTCACCTTGTACCAAGTTTAACAACTTTAAAACATCTCTGCTTAGAAATTAAGTACTCCAAAAAGTATTGTTTTTATGTATCAAACATGCATGATGCAAAGTAGAATATATAGTTGTAAATTAAAAGATGCATGATGCACAGTTTTGAACTTTGATGCATCAATTATTCTTTAGGTTTTAATGATGATGCATACAAAGTTTATCATTTTCTGTCATGTTTATTGTTTATTTTTAAAAGGGAAACTAGAAAATGGCAAAAAAAACCTCTCTTTTTTCCATCGCGCAGTGCACTGATTTTTTTCAATGTACTTGTACTTCCATTTACATTAAGGATATCCCATGAAGCATGATAGTCAAGAGACGACTTGAATATTATTTTTTAATCTTTAAAATAATTTGTTGCTTTTATTCTTCAACTTAATGTTAAAATGTTTTAAACCTCAAAATTTACAAAATGCCCATTGTCCTTGTATTTTGAAAATGTGGTCTGCCTTTTATGTGCTTTAAAGATTACCGGATATATGTAGAATTTCGTTCAGATTTAGACAATTTTAATAAGATTTTAAGATTTTAAGATTTTTCTTAAAAGAGTAAAAAAGGCAGAATACTTTTTGAAATTGTCAGAATCACAGAAGTTTTTGTGAAAGTAAGTTAACGTATAAATGTCGCAAATTCTCAACGATTAAAGAAGATTTTCTAGTCATCTCACAAATGTTTTTAATGTAGCTTAGCTTTGATATTTCGAATATTTATTTTTTCAAGTCCTTACTGATCAAATAAAAAGGTAACAGATAATTAACAGATCAAACAAATCTAATTCTTTCAGGTCGAGATCGAGAGAATTATAATTCAACATGCAATCTTGAGATGTATGCATAAGATGTAAACGTGTTAAATGTTCTATTGTTAAAGGATAAATCCACAATAAAGAACCAACAAAGCGTGTAGAACATTTTATATAAGAGGATTATATAGGGAGGGGGGGGGGGCACGTAGAGTTAATATAACATTGAATCTACGCAGGGTCACCCGCAAAGTATGAGTCTTTAATAAAGACTTCATCCCTCTATAAATTGAAAACCTAATTATGTAAATACACATGTTGCGAAATAATTGCAGAAAGCTGAACACTTCTATTTACCACAAATGAAAATAATTAAGTTCTAGTCAGAGTCATATCATTGAAAATATTGAATAATGTCTTTTTCTTGTACAAAACTTTGAAATGAGAATTTTTCAAAAATACCAATTCTTCATTAAAAGGATTTTTGTTTTGGATAACTCTTTTTATCATCATTTAGATGCAAAATTGCATTTCCATTCTTCAGCAAGGGTTTAGTCAGGGTGTTTAAATAAACAAAGGTAATCTTTGACGGCTTAAAAAAATGTTCGATCTGAGTTATCTGATAACCATGTTTTAGGATATTTCAAAAAACAAAAATGTCCATAATCCCAAGAGTTTCAAATACTTTGTGTAGGTTAAAAATGAATTTATATTTACAAAGATTAGAATTTGTAACAAAAAAAAACTATTAATGCTAATATTAGAACAAACATTAATTAGATTAGACAGATTTTAATTATAAGCAAAATAAAACCATTTAAATGATTAAGGGTTCATCACATAACGATTTTTTCAAGAAATTGCACCTAAGTTGAATATCTTAGTTATACTGAGATTGAAGTGTAATAAATTATTTGTTAACGTATTATTTTATCTGTATAAAAGGTGTCCTTAAACTTGTATTGTATAATTACAACAATAACCTTTAATGCAATTTCTAGATCCTCTGAATACTCGGCTAAATGCATTTTAATCTAAAATATATTCAAGTTAAGAAATCAGATAGAAAACTTTTTTTTAAAGGGAGTGACCGGCTCTTAAGGTAGTTTTCAGAATTAGTTTTTTTTAATTATTAAATAACGACGACATAAAATGTAAAAAAGTTCTACAATAAACTACAGACGTCTTGTATAGGAACACCTTGAAAAAATAAAAATTAATCTTATCATCGAAAATAAGTAATCTGGTTCAATTATTAGTTTCTGTTTTCTCATTATTCACAAAGATTTTCTGCAGATTTTCTAGAATTATTATTGAAAAGACGACATTTGAAAAATTTGAAGAAATCTGCGAAAAAATTCATAGAAATAAGAAATTCAATATAATTTCTTTTGGGAAATATGTTCCTAACCATCTAATTAGATTACAGTATAATTTTTACTTTATTTTTCGTTGTCGTTAATTAATAATTTAAAAAAAACTAATTCTGAAAACGTATCCACCCCCAAAGTAGGAGTTTAGAACGTCGAATTTGCGCTTAAACTCAGGATTTACAGATATTTAAAAAGTTTTATACGTCTCGAATGAATCCGAAAGAAGTTTTCCACAACACTGCATAGTTCAACTACATTACATAGCCGGCCGGTCACCCTTTAAACGGAAATTTGGTTTAATGAAAGCTAGCTGTAATTTTAACATTGAAAATTAATTTTAAAATTAAGTTTATAGATTACATTTCAATACCTTTTGTTTACGTAAAAAACAAATGCAGAACTGTTTTTACTGTACCANCCCCCGACCAAAAAAAGCAAAGAATTTTTATAAGAACTTTTTACCATTTGTAACTATTTGTCATTTGGAACCATTTGTTACCATTTGCAACCATTTGTAACCATTTGTAACTATTTTTAACCATTTGTAACGTTTAGTGTAATTTCTTGGTGACCGTGAAGATTTGAAACTAGCCCGCCCTGACATTTGTCTTGAATGTATATCCTCCCTGCAGTAGAACCAGGAGACAACTAAAGCGTTGAATTGAAGATGTTGAATCAAACAATAATCAACACGAACTCATTCAGGACAAACAAACATTTACAGGGCAATTTTACGCATTCAGGGGAACCATTTCTTAGGACAAATATTTTTAGACAATACAATAATTTTCAGAAAAAGAATATTTTTTAAAAGAAAATTATATTTTACCATAACAAAATAAACTTACTTTTGTAAACAGACGCTTTTTTCAGAGAACACATTCATACTTTAAAAAACGAACTTATTTTTTATCAATCTTATTCTTATAGTTTTGGACCAAACATAGTAGCTGATATACGATACCATAATCATTCAGAGAAAAAAATTCTGATAAAAACGTGAATAACTGAGATTTTAAAAGGAAACATTATAATGAAAGTTACAATTATAATTCAATTTGAATTTTGAATTAGGTTAACAACTACATTTCCTCTGCAAAAGATGTCTTCTAACCTGCTTCCTCCCCCCTTTCCAACGTTTTCAAATTTAATTTACATCTAATTTTTAGCTAGCATAGCTAAATATCTTATTATACTGTAAGTAATTAGAATTCTGCAAAGTGATTCGATAAAATTTTTATTGCACATACATGAAATATTCTCTGAGGGTTAAACAACAAACTTAATTGCATGATCTTTTGTTTCAGTTGTTCAGTGTTCAGTGTTTTGGTGTTTAGTGTTCAATTTTCAGTGTTCAACGTTCAGCTGTTCAGTGTTCAGTGTTCAGTGTTCAGCTGTTCAGCGTTCAGCTGTTTAGTGTTCAGCGTTCAGTGTTCAGCGTTAAGCTGTTCAGTGTTCAGCTATTCAGTGTTCAGCTGTTCAGTGTTCAGCGTTCAATTTTCATCCAAAAAAAAATTTTAAACTTCGAGCTTCGATTGTTTATTTTTAAGGATATTTTGGTTTTAAGTGTCCTTCTAGCTACTGCAAAGGATTTGCATAAATTAATAAGTTGATAAGTTGACTAATTCAAAAGTTGGCAAGTTGAAAGGTTGACTAGTTGATAAGTTGACAAGTTGATAAGTTGACTAGTTGATAAGTTTACTAATTCAAAAGTTAGCAAGTTGAAAGTTGACTAGTTGATAAGTTGAATAGTTGATAAGATTACTATTTCAAAAGTTTGCAAGTTGATAAGTTGACTAGTAGAGTTTAAGTTGTTTGACTTTAAGCTTAGTTTAGTTAGTTTAAACTGTTAGCTCAGTTCAAATTGTTTAAACTGTTGTCTCAGTTCACGAAAACATCGATATATGAAGCCTCTATTATCTTTACTAAGTCAAACTATTAACATCGTGCATACAAATTATATCAATACAACTGTAGTTTAAAAATGCTAATATTAAGTTTCATGAATATAAAAATGATAATTCAAAATCAAAGTTATATTTAAGGAGGACTATTCTTAACTTTTTTGTACGTCAGGCTAACATACACGTAAGATTGAAATCTTTCATGTTTTCAATCGTAACTCCTCCTATTGAAGAACTATTAAGAAAAGCAAAGATGTTCTTAATATCCAATATGTAACTAGGTAAATTACACGTGTGCGTAAATGCGTAAAATCAAAATTAGAGAAGCTCCGAGGTCAAAAAGTACCAGTAATGTCAAATAATTCTGTCATTATCTTTCTGGTTAGCTTCAAGTGACGTAACATTTTTGACTTAAATTGAATTATGTTCAATATTTAAATGTAACTGTTTTAAAAATATATCTGAAAGTCACGTTGTAATTATATTGAAAATTAATTTTTCTTCAAAGTTTTTTTGAAGTAAATCAATTCTTCCCTGAAAACTTTAAATGCAGCAGTGTAGTAAATACCCTACTCCAGAATGGTTTCTTTCACACGTATCTATCCAGGTACAGTTTAGTTTCACTTATCTATCAATGTTTAAACCCGGATACGATCCGCACGTTACAATCCCATGAACTATCAACACCACTACCACTGTGCGCGACCTCGTTAGCCATTGGTTTCAATACGAACACTAACTATTAATCGATCTCTAAATGCCACACAAGGACACAAGCGTAGCTATCAAACAAACTATTAATCGATACTCTAAATTTCACACAGAGACACAAGCATAATCATCATAAAAGCTATTAATCCAGGCTCTAAATGCCAAACAGGGACACAAGCCGTAGCTATCAAACAAGCTATTAATCAAGCTCTGAATGCCACAAAGGTACACAAGCATAGCTATCAAACAAGCTATATTAATCAAGGCTCTATGTCACACAGGGACACTAGCATGGCTATCAAACAAGCCCTGGATATTAATCAAGCTCTAATGCCACACAGAGACACAAGCCTAGCTATTAAACAAGCTATCAATCGAGCTCTAAATGTCACACAGGGACAAAAGCGTAGCTATGAAACAAGCTATTAATCAAAGGCTCTAAATGTCACACAGGGACACAAGCAAAGCTATAAAACAAGTTCTTAATGGAGGCTCTAAATGTTACACCACAAGCATGGCTTAATTATCGATCCAATATTAAGGGGGACAATCTTCAACCTGTTTGTAAAAACAGGGAACAACTACTAAACAGTACTGAGTTACTATATCAACTAACTTTATTTAGATATCTTATGTTACAGGTTAATGTGTCCTGCATTGTTATCTATATCCCATGATTACGACAATCATGTTACATATTTACGGCACAGTTAGAGTTTAATGTACCCTCTTATAAGATTAGCAAGGATAGATACAATGTAGTTAAGCTATCTCCACACATGTTTACAGAGTAGTTTAAGTTGAATATATGTATTTAAAGGATTATCGTAGTTAATCTAATCACATTGCATGTTTTAATCATATTACGCAGCTCCTGCTTAATTTATCTAGGTATGCTCAGGTTAAAAAATATGGGGATTGCTACGATATTTGCTACAGCAGCACTAAAATAAACTGAAATAATAATGTATACTTTTTGGAGGGGGGGAGAGGGGGTAATACTGCTTTTGATGATAAAAAAAATACCCCTGAACAAACCAAAAGAAATACAAGACATTACATATATTTCAGCTTATCATGTTCTTGTATACTCCTAAGCAATAGGTGAGCGGCGGGAGGGGGGAGGAGGTGTTAGGGGGAGGGTTTAGGAGGATTGTTCACAATATTTGTAATTTAACTGAATACACCAATCTTTGGAATTTTTGGACAATTAAAGTCACAAAGATTTGGATGTCCTGTTTTATTTGTTAGTTTATATATTATCGTATACCCACTGCATAAACTAGACACTCTCTACTCCTAGGGATTTAGGAGAAGTGAGTTTTAGTTTATCACAGTAAACTGTAAACTAGACAGAAGAAACAGTTAAACTTCATACGACACTTCTAGTACGACGTTACTACCTTGTAGTTCCTCTGCTTTTCTACGCATAAGATGAGTAAAACAAAAATATACGGTCACACTTTAGAAATTCAAAACAGGTGTGTTCTTCTCAATAGCTCTTTAATAATAATATAGTTATGATTGAAAGCGATCAAGATAGTTTACATATCTCATAGGACCTACTATTTTATATATATTATGGGACCCACTGTATAAACTAGGCACTAACTACTGCTGATGATACCCTGACTTGAAATATCGTCCAGAAAGGATGATTTGTGTCTTTCTTTATATTCCATACATCCATCAATAACAAGGGAGTAACTAAGAAAAAATACTTGGTTCAGTTCGCCCCGGCCCCCTCCCCCACCATGTCTTCTCCCCATCCATATGCT